AAATACAGGAACCTACTACTGTCCTGAATATCCATAAAACATTTAAAGTAAAAGGTTTCCTCTGCATTGTATTTTATTTAGCAGAATCYGACTGCAGTAAAATCTGATGTTAACTTATCCTACTTCAAACATTATAATTTCACTCAGCTCTATTTACTTTTTACTTTTTTGCAACACTTACTGTTTAAGCCTTGCTAGCTTTAAGATAGTCATCATCTTCTAACACTTAYTCAAATTTGTACAGTAGGCCTGTCCATGAGAACAAAAAATATCACAAAAGCAAACACACCAGTGAACCCAGAGGATTGAGATCCAACAGAAATCACTCCTGGCCCACTCCAAAAATACTCAAGTCGAATTTGCTTTCATTTTCACAGCCCCACAGCTGTGAGTTATTAAATTAGGCTGACCTGTGGGTCCACAATCTCCAACTGCAGAATAAAGGGATTTGGACCCAGTTTTATCCTCAGGGATGCTGAAAATAAGCAATTATTCCATGGAGCTCAGTTCAGATTGAACTTAGACAACTCAAACTACTCTGTGTGTTAAAACAGAGCAGGTGTATATTTATACTATACACTCAGGGAGCACACAGACTTACCTTCATGTTACAGTTTTTTTTAAGTATTCGAGCCCCTGTTTTTAAAACCCTTCTGCTAATTGGATGTGTTGGAGTTGTATMTTTTGCTAAATTAAACATGTTTGCAAAGATTGACAGAAACGGCACTGTCGCTATATCAAATTGTTCAATTCACGAGTTTWTTTTCTTCCCTTTTTTTTAACCAAACTACACATATTTGTGCTAAACTTTATGATTTCTGAAAGGTTTGCAGAAGAGGTACAAATACTACTAAAAAAATTCATAACAGTGACTGATGAAAATGTTCACATACTCAAAATATGCAAAATATATTGCAGTTTTACTGTAAACCCGGCAAACATTTGTGTAGATAGAAGCTGTATAAATAAATTAAAATAATTAAACACTTTTCACCACAATATCATTTATTATAATGCTTATACACCCAATTGATGAGTTTTTAATTAAGTATGTTTTTACACGTGGTGGGTGTGTTTAACCAAGTAGTTTATGTGTGGCCAATTCAGAGGCAAAAAGTCAGGCTGACATGTTTACCGTTGTGGAGACTTGAGCTGATGTTTTGCTCATGTTTAGCTGTAGAAAAGGTTATTGCACCTACAATCATGAAAAAACAATCACAGTGTAGAAGTGACCTTAATAGGTTAACAAAAAAAAGAAGTAATTTCATATAAATACCTAAAGAAATGACCTGCTTTTGCCAACAATAGCTTGTTGTGTTTGTATTGTGTGCGTTGGCCTTTAGCCTCTTCTCATCATTACCTGCTGACATGCAAACACTAAGAACAGATCGTCCTGTACTGCTCACATTTTCCTCTTTTTTAATTCCTCCTATTATTTCCACCTGTGAATATTTTGAGGAAGGCTTTTCTTGTTTACTAAAAGAAGCAAAAACCATGAAGGCGCACCTTCCCACTCTTCTGCACACAGTGCACGCCACSCGTTCAGTGTTTGTTTGCCGTGTCCTGAGTGTTGGCGTCCCTGTGTGTAAATAACTGCGGCTGTACTTGCACAGTACTGCCCAACCGCAGGGTCTGAACTACATTATTAAAACAACGCTAGCCTTTGAGCACACACTCACAGGGAACCTAAACAAAGCAAAAAAAAAAAAAAAAAAAACAAAAGCAGAAGTTGTTCTCTGAACACCATGAAATGGGGAAATTTCTGTGCTGGCAAACAAAAGAAAACGAGAAGTCATGTCAATTTGCATTGCAATTTGTAAAATGGTTTGTTGAAAGTAACGCCTGAGGCTGGATGTTGTCTGCAACGGTAGTTCGGGGGTTGTTTCTCTCTCACACACACACACACACACACACACACACACACACACACACACACACACACACACA